CCCTCTGCCTCATCCCATTTCTTGGGCAGACAAATATATTCATTGTTCGCCAATTTTCGATAGCCTTCATAGCACGAACATTGATTCGGTGCCGAACAAAAGCCGTTACGACAACGATGTTTACACTTCGGTTTACATTTGTGATCGCGCATGGACCATCTATAGCCAACCGAACACTGACATTCACCCGATTTTAGGCAATAGCCATTTTCACAACCTTGACATGGTGAGGGGACACAACCATGAGGGGTGGAAACAAAGCCCTCCTTGCACTCACACACCCCCGGTTTGATACACACCGCATTGATGCACTCATCACAGATTGGCTCACAGCCTTTACTCGTCTCCGCATAGCCATCGTTGCATTTACATTCATCCGGTGCCAGACATTCACCATTTTCACAATTCTCACAGCTCGGAATACAAACTCCGTCTACGAAGGCGAAGCCATCGTGACAAATCGATACACACTGTGAGGGATTAGCTTCATCGGCCATATAACCTTCACAACAGTCCTTGACCATTGCCTTTATGGGTACCCTTTCCAAGCGACCATTGCGTATGACGGCCTTGATTTTGGTCTTCTCCTGTAAACACATATGACACCGGACCACCATCAGAAGCGATGAAATAATGGCGAGCTTTAAAAATATCGAACGTCGCGTGTCCGTGGCCATAATCCGGTTGTGACTTAGTTTGTGTGTTGTCGCGGATAAAGTTCGTTATCAACTATTTCGCAAATCGGGTTTCAATTCATGTTTTTCGGAATTCGAGCAAGGGGTTTTTAGCTAAACATTTTTATGGTTGATAAAAAAATATTTTATGTAAAGGGTGTTCGCAATAGAAAGACAAAAACCGAAATTTTTTTGCGTGTATGGACCTAAAAAAAATTTTTTAATAAATCCATGCCTTGTGTTGTCCATCGACACAAATAAAATAATAAAAAAAAAATAAAAATAATTTTTTAATAAATCCATGCCTTGTGTCGATGGACCTTAAAAAATATTTTTTTAATAAATCCATGCCTTGTGTCGATGGACATTAAAAAAAATTTTTTTAATAAATCCAAGCCTTGTGTCGATGGACCTTAAAAATAATTTTTAAAAAATCCACGCCTTAAAAATAATTTCTAAAAAATCCACGCCTTGTGTCGATGGACCTTATAAATAATTTTTTTAAAAATCCACGCCTTGTGTCGATGGACCTTATAAATAATTTTTTTAAAAATCCACGCCTTGTGTCGATGGACCTTATAAATAATTTTTTTAAAAATCCACGCCTTGTGTCGATGGACCTTAAAAATAATTTCTAAAAAATCCACGCCTTGTGTCGATGGACCTTAAAAAATAATTTGTAAAAAATCCACGCCTTGTGTCCATGGACCTTAAAAAATAATTTTTAAAAAATCCACGCCTTGTGTCCATGGATCTTAAAAAATAATTTTTAAAAAATCCACGCCTTGTGTCGATGGACCTTAAAAATAATTTTTAAAAATCCACGCCTTGCGTCGATGGACCTTAAAAATAATTTTTAAAAAATCCACGCCTTGCGTCGATGGACCTTAAAAATAATTTTTAAAAAATCCACGCCTTGTGTTGATGGACCTTAAAAAATAATTTTTAAAAAATCCACGCCTTGTGTGTATGGACCTTAAAAAATAATTTTTAAAAAATCCACGCCTTGTATCGATGGACCTTAAAAAATAATTTTTAAAAAATCCACGCCTTGTATCGATGGACCTTAAAAAATAATTTTTAAAAAAATCCACGCCTTGTGTGTATGGACCTTAAAAAATAATTTTGAAAAAATCCACGCTATGTGTGTATGGACCTTAAAAAATAATTTTTAAAAAATCCACGCCTTGTGTGTATGGACCTTAAAAATAATTTTTAAAAAAATCCGCGCCTTGTGTATATGGACCTTAAAAAATAATTTTTAAAAAAATCCACGCCTTGTGTGGAGGAAGTGCCTCAAAAATAATTTTTAAAAAAATCCACGCCTTGTGTGGAGGTAGACCCCTCAAAAATAATTTTTAAAAAAATCCACGCCTTGTGTGTATGGTCCTTAAAAACTAATTTTTAAAAAAATCTACGCCTTGTGTTTATGGACGGACCTTAAAAATAATTTTTAAAAAAATCCACGCCTTGTGTGTATGGACCTTAAAAACTAATTTTTAAAAAAATCTATGCCTTGTGTTTATGGACCTTAAAAACTAATTTTTAAAAAAATCTATGCCTTGTGTTTATGGATGGACCTTAAAAATAATTTTTAAAAAAATCCACGTCTTGTGTGTATGGACCTTAAAAACTAATTTTTAAAAAAATCCACGCCTTGTGTGTATGGACCTTAAAAACTAATTTTTAAAAAAATCCACGTCTTGTGTGTATGGACCTTAAAAACTAATTTTTTAAAAAATCCACGCCTTGTGTGTATGGACCTTAAAAAATAATTTTTAAAAAATCCACGCCTTGTGTGTATGGACCTTAAAAAATAATTTTTTAATAAATCAACGCCCTGTGTTAAGTCTGAAAATTATTTTTAAAAAATCCTGAAAAAATATTTTTTTTAATGTTTTATTTCGGATGTTTTTTTTCTTAATCATTTTTAACCAACCATCGTTTGCATGATCGAACAATCGCTTCATATTATGCTTCCAAGAAATGCAGCAGCATGAGAATTTTTTTGAATTTTATCAGCTTTGGGTGTTTGGCTCCCACAGTCCTTATCATCGGTTTTGAACATTGTTTTCTTTTTCTCTCGCCTCCAGAATACGATTTTACACAGTTGAAGATAAAAGCGACTTCGAAAATATTCCGAACATGTTTTTTTTAGAGATTATGGCAATTCTAAGATAAAAAAAATCTACATAGCATGGAGTATGTGTTTCATAGTTTTTTTCAAAATTTGTTTAATTGCAGTTTATTAAAATTAAAATTTTTTAGATTATTTTTTAAAAAATAAATTAGCGCTTAGAAAAAATTAATAACTATTTTTTTACTTAGATTCCTTTAATATATGACCAATAAAATGAAGTTTCTTGCCCAAATATCTAATATATCCTTCCATTTCGGGACCATTGCTGTCATCCTGCCCCTCCTCATGTGTGATCTGATCATTCCGATTATTCTCAACAGCTACACAACCCTCAGCCACCGTGTAATGAAAACCAGGCAAACATTTGCACACACCCGGTTCATGGCATTCACCATTTCCGCAATTTTCCGGACATTTAGGGCCACATCCTCTATCAGCCGACCAGCTATAGCCTTCGTTATTACATTTGCAGTTATTCGGCGATAAACATTCCCCGAGCTCACAGTTATCACATTTCGGTATACACTGACCCTTGGCATATGAAAATCCCTCTTCACAAATCGGTTTGCACCGGCTTTTTTCCTTCGGATCGCGTTCGTATCCTTCACAGCAAACTTTTATAGTGGTTGTGATATTTGCCTTGACAAATCGATTATCTCGTTTGACATTCATTGGGCGGGTGAAATTCTGGAAACAGAATTGGGCCTCCGCCAGAGACATCAGCTCCAATAGTAGGAGGAGAAGAAGGCAAAACTGGAACAAATTTTTGGCCATTTCTTGGGAGAGAGAGCGAATGTGTTTTCTTGTGCGAAGTTTTATATCAACTAAATTGCAAAATGAACTTGTGCTACTTCTGGTGGACTTCGTGGTTATGAAGCTTTAACACTTCGAATACTGATAAGGTCACACATATTAGGGTGTTCGAATTATGGAATTGAAAGTTAAGGCCAAGCAATGGCATTGGGGATAATAAACAGACGTATGTAGTGGTAATTAAAAATTTATGTTTTATTCTCCATGAGCCGTTACAAAAAAATAAAAAAAATTAGGAAATTAATTTGAATTTTTTTTTTTTTTTTAAGGTCCATACACACAAGGCGTGGATTTTTTAAAAATTATTTTTGAGGGTCCAACTCCAGACAAGGCGTGGATTTTTAAAAAATTATTTTGGAGGGTCTCCCTCACACAAGGCGTGGATTTTTTTAAAAATTATTTTTTAAGGTCCATACACACAAGGCGTGGATTTTTTAAAAATTATTTTTTAAGGTCCATACACACAAGGCGTGGATTTTTTAAAAATTATTTTTTAAGGTCCATACACACAAGGCGTGGATTTTTTAAGGTCCATACACACAAGTCGTGGATTTTTTAAAAATTATTTTTTAAGGTCCATACACACAAGGCGTGGATTTTTTAAAAATTATTTTTTAAGGTCCACACAAGGCGTGGATTTTTTAAAAATTATTTTTTAAGGTCCATACACACAAGGCGTGGATTTTTTAAAAATTATTTTTTAAGGTCCATCGACGCACAAGGCGTGGATTTTTTAAAAATTATTTTTTAAGGTCCATCGACGCACAAGGCGTGGATTTTTTAAAAATTATTTTTTAAGGTCCATACACACAAGGCGTGGATTTTTTAAAAATTATTTTTTAAGGTCCATACACACAAGGCGTGGATTTTTTAAAAATTATTTTTTTGAGGGGATTATTTTTTTTAAAAATTATTTTTTAAGTACCACACAAAGGCGTGAATTTTATAAAAATTATTTATTTAAGACAACACACAAGGCGTGGATTTTTTAAAAATTATTTTTTAAGGTCCATACACACAAGGCGTGGATTTTTTAAAAAATTATTTTTTAAGGTCCAAGGCGTGGATTTTTTTAAAAATTATTTTTTAAGGTCCAAGGCGTGGATTTTTTTAAAAATTATTTTTTAAGGTCCAAGGCGTGGATTTTTTTAAAAATTATTTTTTAAGGTCCAAGGCGTGGATTTTTTTAAAAATTATTTTTTAAGGTCCAAGGCGTGGATTTTTTTAAAAATTATTTTTAAGGTCCAAGGCGTGGATTTTTTTAAAAATTATTTTTAAGGTCCAAGGCGTGGATTTTTTTAAAAATTATTTTTTATTTTTTTTTAAAAATTATTTTTTAAGGTCCAACGCGTGGGTTTTTTTTAAAAATTATTTTTTAAGGTCCATACACACAAGGCGGGGATTTTTTAAAAATTATTTTTTAAGGTCCATACACACAAGGCGTGGATTTTTTAAAAATTATTTTTTAAGGTCCAAGGCGTGGATTTTTTAAAAATTATTTTTTAAGGGCCATACACACAAGGCGTGGATTTTTTTAAAAATTATTTTTTAAGGTCCATACACACAAGGCGTGGATTTTTTTAAAAATTATTTTTTAAGGTCCATACACACAAGGCGTGGATTTTTTAAAAATTATTTTTTAAGGTCCATACACACAAGGCGTAGATTTTTTAAAAATTATTTTTTAAGGTCCATACACACAAGGCGCCTTGAACTTCGTACTCTGTTATGAGTTATTTGATTCGGCTTTATTTTTAGATATTTTCATTCAAGGTTAAAGCATTGTTTGGAATATCCGTCATGTCGTTGTTAATTTTTTTTTTGCTTGCAAAATTCCAAATGCGCATTGAAAACTTCAATGTTTAAAAAAAAATTCAAACACATATGTTTGATAAAAAAAATTCAGTTGGTCAAACCGCAGATATGAATTTACTTTGTGTGTGTGTTGTGTTTCCCCCAAAAGGAATTTGGAATACAATACAACAGTACCCACATAATCCCATATCAAATAATGTAGCGTTGAATGCATGGCCTTAGAATATCCACGGCCACAAAAAATTGTTATCGTCAAGAAAAGGGGTCCCGATGTTAACCCCAACCCTCCATACGTCATTCATAACTTCATAACAAATTATGGAGGTCATTGCAAATAGCGATTTAAAAAATTTTGACAGTTTTTAAAAGAAAGTCTAACGGATAAGACCTAAGAGGAACGATATTAAATGTTGTGAAAACGAAAGGAAAAAAATCGGAAACCGATCTTTGAAAAAATAAAATGTTGAAATTAATTGTTTTATTATTTTGTGCTATCATAGTTAAAGTGAAAGGTGAGGACACATGCCAACCCACCGATCTCCTCATCAATGGCCAATGCCTACCCGTGGTGGCCGATTTATATGTAGACGAAGATGATGATGTGCAAATGAAATTTGCCAAATTTGATGAAGATGCAGATCGTGATGTAGATATTACAACGGAAAATATTTTCATTGGTTATAATTTTGGAAATATCGGAGGGGAAGAAAGTTCTCAATTTTATTCTACTACGATGGAATTTTTGAATACCGATGGAAAAAATGACTTTCCGGATGCAACATCAACTGTTAGGCCTTTGGATCCTGAAAGCCTAGACCCTAGATCAGCGAAAGAAACCTCAAATTCTAAGCCAACAATAAATCCCAAAATTGAAAACGATTATGAGACGAGAATAACCACTCCTTCAGAAGAGGAAAATCGGAATGACACTACCACCGACATCTCAGAAATCATCGACAATGTTGAAATAATTTCGGAAAATGAAACCGATGAAATGTGGAACTTGAGCCATGAATCTCAGAAAACCCGCGATAAATTTAGTGTTCGCGATACAACAACAACAACGTCCAGTCCTTCGGATCACGAAGAAGGAACTATCTCAAACATTGATGAAAGACAAGGCTCTAGACAGAATGGAGCTAGTGAAAATGCCCTCGACAATATTGCAATTCTTGCGGCGGATTCTCAGGGTACAACATCAACAAGCAGGCCATTAAATCCTAAGCAAGATGCAAATGAATCATCATCAGAAGTATCAGCTAGAGAAAGCTCAAGTTCTGCAACAACAACATTAAGTCCTGAAATTGCAAAGGAATATGGATCGAAAACATCACAAGAAGAACAGGATAAGCTGAGCGAAAATACCATTTATTTAGGGAAGGAAAATCTGAATGAAACATCCACTGAAACCACAGATTCCTCAGACATTGAAATACGACCTGAAGACCAAACTAGCGAATTTTTAAAGCAGCCCAAAGAATCTCAAGAAAACTCCACTATATTTAATGTTCCGGATACACCATCAACGTCGAATCCTTTGGGTTCCGAACAAGAAACAGCAGACGCCAGGGAAAAGGAAGCTGTGGAAGATTTCCTCGACGGACAACCGATAAGTTCCAAAGAAAATAATACGGAAGAAAAACTTGAGATTCCTTCAGATGTAAAAGATTTCAATTCAGAGACCAGTGATACCTCAGATTCCTCAGACATAGACGAAGATGTTGAAATAATATCTAAAGATCCATACCGATTTGTTGGCAGCCAAATGAAAATGTCACAGGAGTCACAAGAATCTCCGAAAACCTCATCAACTGCCAGTACATTGGACACCGAACAAGAAACAACCTTTCATTTTAATGAAATACCAGACGCTGCGGAGAAGGAGGCTGCGGAAAATCCTCTCGACGATAATGGACATTTTGTGGTTGAAAATGAACAAGAAAGTTTCGATGAACAGAACATGGGAGGGGAAATTGAGTCTCAGGATACAACATCAAGGACCATACCATTGGCTCTTGAGAAAGATGCAAATAAAACCCTGGAATCATCAGCCGCAGAAACAACAAGTTCCGAAACAACAATAAATACCGAAATTGAAAACGATTTTGGGTCGAGAACAACTACCGGAGAACTGGATACATTTAGCGGGATCACCACTTCTTCAGAACAGGAAAACCTAAGTGAAACAGCCGGGGAAGGCCAGGAAACCTACAAAATGTTGAAGGTTCAGGATACACAATCAACTTCCAGTACTATCGATCTCGAAGAAGAAACAACTTTAGCCTTCAATGAAATACCAGACGCTAGGGAGAAGGGGGCTGCGGAAAATCATATTAACAGTAGTGAAACTCTAGAGTCATCTGCAGTGGAAATCTCAAGACCTGAAACAACAATAAGCCTAGAAATTGCAAAAGATCTGAATGAAACAGCTACCGAGATCTCAGATTCCTCAGACACTGAGATACGATCTAAAGACCAAACCAACGAAACTTCAAAGCAAACCAAGGAATCTCAGGAAATCTCTGATATATTTAATGTTCCGGATACACCATCAGCTTCCAGTCCTTTGGATCTCGGAGAAGAAACACCATACGCTAGGGAGACGGAGGCAGCGAAAAATTCTCTCGACAATAATGAAACTTTTGGGGTTGTAGAACAACAAATAAGTTCCGAGGAAAATTATAAGGATGAAAAACTCGATATACCTTCAGATGTAAAAGATGTCAATGGAGAGATCAGTGGTACATCAAAATCCTCAGACATCAGCGAAGATGTGGAAATAATATCTAAAAACCCATCGGGGTCTGTTGGTGGCCAAATAAAGATGGCAAAGGAGTCTGAAGAAACCCAGGAAAACTCTGATAAATTTAATATTCCCGATGCACCACCAACTTCCAGTCCATGGGATAACGAACAAGGAAAAACTACAATCCTTCATGAAACTCAAGACGCTGAGGACAAGAAAGCTGTGGAAGATTTCCTTGACAATAGCAAATCTGTTGCCACTGAAAATCAACAAATAAGTTCCGAGGAAACCAATGCGGAAGAAAAAATTGAGCTTCAGTATTTATTATCAACTAACAGACCTTTTGATCCCGACAAAGATGCAAATAATACCCTACAATCTTCAGCCGGAGAAACCTCAAGTTCCGAAACAACAATAAGCCTCGAGATCTCAAACGAATATGAGTCTAGAACAACAACCGCAGAACTGGATACATTTAGCGGAATCACAACTTTATCAGAACAGAATAATCGAAGTGAAGCAGCCAATGAGACCTCAGATTCCTCAGACAAAGGATCATATATTGTATTACAATCTGAAGACCAAAGCAGCGAAACGTCCAAGCAGTCCCAAGAATCTCTGGAATCTTCCGATACAGGTTATGTTCCAGATACACCATCAACTTCCAGTCCATTGGTTAGCGAACAAGAAGTGCCAGATGCCAGGGTGAAGGAAGCTGTGGAAGGTTTCGTCGAGAGTAGAGAAACATTTGGGGTTGTAGAGCAACAGACAAGTTCCGCGGAAAATATTGCCGATGAAAACATTGAGTTCTCTTCAGACGTAAAAGTGTCCAACAGAGAGACCAGCGGCACTTCAGAATCCTCAGACATCGCCGAAGATGTTGAAATAATATCGAAAACCCCATCCAAATATATTGGTAGCCAAATGAAGATGACAAAAGAGTATCAAGATACTTCGAAAACCTCGAATAACATCATCGATAACATCGATGCAACATCAACCTCCAATCCATTGGATAACGAAGAAGGATCAACTCCAGATGCTAGGGAGAAGGGAGCTATGGAAACTTCCCTTGACAATATTGAAACTGTTGCCGCTGAAAATCAACAAATAAGTTCCGAGGAAAATAATTCGGAAGAAAAAATTGAGCAGCAGGATGCAACATCAACTACTAAGCCTTTGGATCCTGAGGAAGATGCAAATAAAATCCCAGAATCATCAGTCAGAGAAACCGCAAATTCTGAAATAACAATAAGTCCTGAAATCGCAAAGGAATATACCTCGAGAAAAACAGCCAGGGAACAGGACACATTTAGCGGAATCAGCAATCTTTCAGAAGAAGAAAATCTAAAGGATGCAACTACTGAGACCTCCGATTCCTCAGACAAAGGTAAAGATGTTGCAATAGTATCAGCAGACCAAACTGGTAAAATGTCGAAGCAACCGCACGAATCTCAGGAAACCTTAAATAAACTTGTGGTTCCGCATACAACATCAACTTTCAGTCCAATAGATAACGAAGAAGGAACAACCTTTTTCTTTGATGAAAATCAAGACGTCGGGAAGACAGATGATGTGGTAAATCCTGTTGACGATAGTGAACATTTTGATGTCGGAAAACATCAAATAACTGCCGAGGAAAATGATACGGATGAAGGAATTGAGATTCCTTCAGATGTAAAAGATTTCAATACAGAAACGTCTGATACATCCGATTCCTCAGACATTTTGGAAGATGTCGAAATAATATCCAAAAACCCAACCGACTTTGTGGGAAGCCAAGTGAAGATGCCAAAGAAAACCCAAGAAACTCTGAAAAGCTCTGATAAATTGAATTTTCATGATACAGCATCAATTTCCAATCGATTAGATCGAGAGGAGGAAGTAACCTCATTATCTGCTGAAGAGCAAAATACTTTGAAGAAGGCATCAAAGGAAATATCCCTTGACAGCAACCGAATTTTTGAGGATTCAAATAGTAATAACGATGTTGATATTCGGTATTCAACATCATCCGCAAGTCCATTGAATGCCGAACAAGAAACCACTCCAGACTTCGAGAAAGTGATAGTCACTGGCAAGAGAACCGAGTCAAATTCCTTACACAACCACAATCCAATCCCTGGCAGCGGTAATCCACAATTAATCTCCAATAAAACTAATGGTGAAGACGTGCTTAGGGTCCATCAAAGCACATCAACTTCAAGTCCATTGGATCTGCTAGGGCAAGATTTGCAGGCATCGTCTGGAGAAATCTTGAACGCATTAAAAAATAAGGAGCCTTTATTTAATGGCAGAGCGTTCTCTTCGGATATGGAAGAATGGGTGACTACTTGGGCGCCACAAATATTTTCAAAGGAAATGACTATGTCGGCAGATAATGAAAAGAATGAACCAATTTCTGAGGCGGGATATTCAACTGAAGGTAATACGCTCAAGGGTAAGATAACTTTTTTTTAGATTCGAAGAAATGTTTCCAATAAATTCTGCTTTCAATTACAGATTATAATGTGCCAGGTTCGGAGGCAATTATTGGAAAATCATCTTCCCAAAAGGAATCTGAAAATATTGAAGCCGATTTTGCTCTCCGATCAGATTTCTCTTCGGAATCTTTTATTAGTGATGGCAAAGATGTTATCAGCTCCGATCCACACCGGCTCAATAGAAAAATGATTACAACAGTTGTTCCAAATTTAAACAAAAATACTACGGATACTCCTAAAAGTATGCAGCAGGCAAGTGTGGAGTCTAGGGTGACATCTACATCGGGGAAATCTCAATCAACGGATAATGATCATACACATAGAAGCTCTCAAAAAATACACAATGAAATAATTCCGGTAGAAACCTCAGATAAGATTAGAACTTCGGAAACGATGGCTAAAGAAAAGGCAGAGGAAGATGACAACGGAAAAATTCCGAAAGGACCAGTTGAAATTCCGAAGGGCAATGAAATTGATGAAGACGTTAACAGCTCTGAAATTATTTCCAATGAAGATACTCTGCAAGAGAGTGGAGAAGTTCTAATTTCCACAACATTTAATAACATTAGGGAGAATAACGTCGAGACCTCCGATAAAACTCTCAAGCAAGTGGATTCTTTTGTAGAACACGATATTCTAAAAACGGCTGATGATTCTCAAAGTGATAACGCTACGGTGAGTTACCTTGAGCGCTCTGGAGAAACTCCCAGGCAATTGGAATCACTTCTAGACACAAAATATGAAATTCCGGAAGACGACAATGATCTTCAAAATCCGCAAACCACTACAACACCCACGCTAAGTGGTAATTCTGCAGTGACGAATAGCCCCCTACCACAACAAGTGGAAAAAACATTGCTGACGAAGCAACCTGTAAGAGGAGACATCTCCGCCGTGGAAATTAATATATCTCGTTCCGAAGCAACATCTGATGATTCTGAAAGTGAAAACGCCACGGTGAATTCTCTTGAGGGCTCTGGAGAAATTCCCAAGCAATTGGAATCACTTCTAGACACAAAATATGAAATTCCGGAAGACGACAATGATCTTCAAAATTCGCAAACCATTAAAACTCCAACGACAGGTGGTAATTCGGGAGTGACAAATAGCCCCATACCGCAACCTGTGGAAGATACATTGGAACCTGAGCAAAATTTAAGTGGTGGCATCTCCAAAGAAGTTCCTCTGGTAGAGTCTTTCTCTGAAAACCAAGTTCCTTGGGTAGAGTCTTCAACTACCAAGGAAATAGAAAATATCGGAGTAGGAGACGATTTTACTTCAAACCCACCAACTAAATCTCATGACTCCGTGGAGTCATCAGCGAAGACCCTGAACGAAGCATTCAAGGAAAATAATATCACCAAAGAAGAGTATCTATCACGCGGATCTGCTAGTCAAACGGATAACCAACAGATCAGATTAAACCCGATGCTTGAAGAGGAAAATAAAGTCAGTATAGATTCCTTGACTACAGAAATTCCGATCTTTGATGCTGCGTCCTATGAAATCGTTATGAAATCCACAAATCAGTCCCATATTTTGAATAAGAACAATGACGAACAAGTCAAGATAACTGAGGTAACAACTGATAAAATCGTGGCGTCTTCTTCCACAGAATATTTTAAACTTGAACCTCCAAAGTCTGAAAACTCTGAAAGTCTACAAAATTTCAAGAATGAGAATGGGGTAGAGGGGCTCACAGTTCTGGAACGTAAAGACTTCGACGGAGTTTCTGCGTATACAGACATCTCCGAGGATTCTACGGATATTTTGACTGTAGACACTGAAGGAAATATAAGGACAACTGAGGCGAACCGTGAGAAAATCGTGACCTTAATTAGTACAACTTCCATAGAATATGATTTCATGTCTTCCACAGAAAATTCTGGCCCTAGACCACACACGAAGAACACTGAAAGTCTAGGACATTTGAAGGATGAAAATGGATTCGAGCTACTCGCAACTTTGGAATCTAAAAACTTCGAAAGATTTACCGAAGACTTCTCCACGGAATCTACGGATCAGACTACAATTTTGAATGTGAATAATGAAGGAAATGTCTGGACAAATGAGGAAATCGAGGACTCAATTACTCCGACTACCATAGAAAATGTTCCGGTATTTGTTAATTATCCTGACTATGGACCACACACGAAGAACTCTGAAATTATACGTAATTGGAATGGGGAGAATGATGATGATGTCACCGAGGAATCCACGGGTCAACATAGCTTTTTGAATGTGGACAATGAAGGTCATGCCAGGACAACTGAGACGAAAACGGACTTCAACGAGGGTTCAATTACCGCAGAAGAGAGGCCTCCTGCTTCAACAGAAAATACGCAATTATTAGACAAATATCCTGACCATGGATCATTCAATGAAGTTTCTGAAATGGGAGAACCTGACATATCTGACGATTCTGCAGACGAAATTTCTTTCAATAATTCCGAAGGTAATTCAATTTATTCTCAAGTGAATTCAAATGTCGAGAAGTTAAGCACAACTCCACAGAGCTTTAATACTTCTTCCGGAGAACTTGAAATTGCGGCTACGAAGTTATCTTCGAGTACCAGTGAATACAACATCGGACCTTATGAAACCACAGCGATTTATGATGATTCGGAATCGTCCACTATTCTTAGTATTGTTCCCAATATTAAAAATTCAGGTCATATCATTGAGAGTCTTCAAAATACTCCCAAAGAGTTTGAGGAAATTTATTCTACCTCTACCATTGAATACAACTCTGGTCAGGATGAAACCTCGGCGAGAAAAATTAATTTAAAATTCCCTACTACCATCAAATACAACTCTGTAATGGATCATAACCTCGCTAAAGAATCAACTGTACGCCTTATGGACTCTGAGACCACTACAACATCGAATTTAATTCCAATACATAAAACTTCTCTCAATGAACTTGAGAATAATTTCAAGGAACCGAAATCTCCGACTATCATAAAATACAACTCTATGGAGAGTACCACAACTTTAAAATACAACTCTGTAACGGATATTAACCCGGCTAAAGAATCAACTATGCATGTCGATGACTTTGAAAACTCTGCATCACCCAATTTAATTCCGACGCATAAAAATTCTCTCAGCGAACTTGAAAATACCTCCAAGGAACCGAAAACCCCGACTTTGACAAAGTACAACTCTGTAGAGAGTACCACTACCACTAGTACCATAAAACACAATTCTGTATTGAATCAGAGCCTGTCTAAAGATTCAACGGAGCTAGTGACGGACTCTGAACCCGCCACTACCTCTAGCAATTTAATGCCCATACAAAAAACAGCACCCAAGGAGCTTGGAAATACGCCGAATGAAACGAAGTCAGATGCCAAACAAAAATACAACCCTGAATCGGATGATACCACAGTGGGGTATATGGATACTGAACCCCCAACCACCGTTAATATAATTCCCAATGGTAAAAAATCCAAAGAAAGAAAACAGCTTCTTGACGAAGAAGAAACAATCTTCAAAGAAAGTGGATCCAAAGAACCTACTACCACAAAATACAACCCTGTACGGGATACAAAGGGTAGCCATCCAACAAAATTAAGCACGATTTTGTTAACAACACAAACAACAACAACTCCAATACCAGCTAGAAAATCTCAACACATTCCCAAGAAACGTAGAAGACCAATTATCACTCCCCCAACTACAACTCCTTCTACGCCACATCCTCCACCACCACCGCCACCACCCTCAATGCCCGATAATACCAACAACAATGAAATTACCAACTCTTCGGTTAAAATAAATATTTCCATAATGATTGCTGGCGGGGTAAATATCAATCTGAATCCAGCGCCCCGATTCAATTTCGAAGATTTTTGTTTGAAACCGGGGAATATTTGTACGAAACTTTGTTGTGGTCCCAACGCCATCTGTAGCCTGGAAGAGGGTTGCCAATGTCGAAATGGGTTTGTGAAAACAATATTACGAAATACCAAAGGTATACTATGTACTGCTGCAACTGCGGAACCTGACATTGTAACGATCGCACACCTACTTGGTATATATTTATAGGGATAATGTGTTTAGCCCTAATATATACAGTGGCGAGCAGAAACTAGTACATGGTTGCATTTTGGACACTTTTTACGCCATAAAAATAAAACTAAAAAAGCTAATTCCAAAATGTTGGTTGCATTTTATTGGGTATTTTGTACTTAATAATAAGTCAAGAAGAATTATATATAATAACCACCGAAGAGTCCATTCGGAAAAGGCTGAAAAATCTGTTCTACCCTGGAAATTGCAAATTTTAAATTTTATAAGTTTGATTGTGTTAGTCATTGAACAGCGTGAAGAGCCCTTCCCGACATTGGATATAACAGCATTAAAAAAAGACTAAAAACCTGTATTATAGGAAAAAACTGCAAAATAAGGGTAAAGACTTTTAAACTGGGGAATCTGGTAAACGCGTATTTGGTTTGCAGCTGATCATGAATTTATTTTATTCCTTTTTAACAACTTCTGTTTATATTGAGTTGGCGTATGCTCCTGATGCAAGCAACTTAAATTCTATATGCAGCAAACTTCGTCGGCTAAATGTTATAACGAAGTACAGGATAATAAATGGAGATAAAGCTAAAGCCAAAATTGTACTACCTGACGGTAAAGAAGTAGAACGAGATGCAAAGGGATGTTCTTTGTTGCTGTCAAACAGAAATGAACCTGCCAATTAAAATTACCACTTGTAAAACTTGGATACAATTAACGTATGTATTTTTTAGCTCTGTAAGAATCATGATTTTTTATACTCTGAATAGTTAATTGGATCCAAGTTCAATAGTATTATACTTTATTTTATGTAAGCTGAAGTTTGATCTCTTTTATTCTTTTTTACGATTAGCTGTTTTATCAATGAATTTTTTTAATTAAATGGTATTTAATAAATTTTTTAATTCATTATTATATGTAGTTTGTCTTGTGTTGGCTCCCCATCTTCCTATTTTTTTAATTAAATGTCTCTTGCTGACAACCTAGGTCCTATAGTAAGTAGTAACTCTGAACTAAATAGACTAGGCACATCTAAATTGCAGAAGCATTATACCCACTGTTAAGATAGATGAATTAAGGTATATCTTGAGGGAAAATACATTTGATTGGTTGGCTTTTTCGGAGACATGGCTTTCAAGTGATATACTGGATTCTGCGGTATCTTTCCCAGGCTATAACCTTTGCCGATGTGATCGTCAAATTCCAGGTAGAGGTGGTGGAGTTGCATTTTACGTTTCTAATCGTTTTCAATATAAATGTATTTTAAAAACTTCTGTTCCTGACTGTGAGACCTTGTTTATAGAATTACAACTCCACGGAACAAAACTTATTCTTGGTGTTGTATATCTACCTTCGGGAAATATCGATATTTTTGAAAATCTTCACTACGAGCTTTTTGCACAATATAGCAATATCTTTATTGTAGGCGATTTTAACTGCAATATTTAAAATTTTTCCAAATCCAGTTTACTTCGTTCTCTCTGTACAAGGCTTAATCTGAGTGTAGCACACAATTATAAGCCTACCCATTTTGATGTGGCAAATTGTTCAACGTCTTTGATAGACTTTATATTAGTCAGTGATAACACACTCTTGCACTACACAGACCAATTTCAGTGCCCTGCGGTATCTGATCATGCTCTTATCTTGGCATCACTTTCAGTTAATTACAGTCGCTTACCGGATTTTATTGAATATCGAGATTACGATAATATTAATTGGGATTGTTTACTCTCTTTTCTCAACAACTATAATCCCAATGTGATTTATAACAGTATAAATGTTAATGGAAATGTTTCCATGTGTGTTCTCTTCTTGATTCGCTTCTTGCTTTTGTTCCTATTATTAGGAAAGAAATAAAGTACAATGGAGACTTTTGGATGAAATCTAGAGAAGTTAGATATGCCATTTCCATTAGGAATTTGGCTTTCTCTACTTTTCTAAGAGATAAATGTCAAGATAATTGGAAAATTTACTGCAAATTCAGAAATAAGGCAAAATCTATAATTCGCCGAGGAAGGAGACACCATTACTGCAGTGTTTTTAACGGTATGGATTCTGCAAGGATGTGGAAATATCTAAGAGGTTCTGGGTGTATGGGTAACGATCATGATGAGATAAATATTAATGTTAACTGCATAAATGAATTCTTTGTTGACTCTTCAAATGATGTTAACGAATCTTGACTCTAGCGCATCATTTTCATTCCAATGTGTTGATGAAAATGAGTTTGTTGAAGCCTTGCTTAAAGTAAAATCTAAGTCTATTGGTGTTGATGGAATATCAATAAAATTTCTCAAAATAGTTTTCCCCTACATATCTGATGTGATCATTGATCTAGTAAACTGCATTTTACCAACTTCGGAATTTCCAAATGGTTGGAAGACGGCTCGTGTGGTTCCCATTCCGAAATGTCGTTCTGTTTGTGATTCCGATGATCTCTGTCCGATATCTATTTTACCAGCTCTTTCTAAGATAGTGGAGTACATTATTAAAAAACAAATGCTTCAGCACTGTAGAAATAAGATAATTGAATCCCAATATGCAATTCGTCAAGGTTATAATACTACCCATTTGCTTATTAAATTGACTGACTTAATTCGTGAAAACATTAATAATGATGAGTTGAGTGTATTAGTATCTCTAATTTTAGGTAAAGTTATATATCTCAGGTATAACTTATTGTCATAAATACATTATTATGGCCATATTGGCTTTGTATTATTAATGGAATTTGAAATAAATAAATAAAAGTTGAACTGTGGTCGACTGGAAACATGTGATCGGATTCGAAAAATCAAAATTCAACCGTTTTCAATCCGACGATAAGCATTTTTGGTGATGAAAACTAATTCAAAGGCCCAATGTGAAGCACGGTTGAGGAATTGCCATGTTATGTGTAGGCTTAAATTGTGAGTCCTGGTCCGATGTTAAAAAATTGACAATATAATAATGAAAGAAGTCCATTTAGATCATTGTAGAGTCATATCAGTCAGTTTATGTAGCTAAGAACGCCTATTCTGTAAAAGAAGTTGATCAAAGATAATATCTTCGTGAGCAAAATTTTGAATTAACACAGTGGTCACCACAAAGTTCGAACATCAATCCGAAAGATACTTTGGTGCCAATCGCAAAGAGAGAGGTGGGACAGTACCAATCAGCCCCTAATAATTTAGACGAACTTTGGCAGTAGATCTGTGGTGATTGGAAGAATAATTCCAATGAAATTATACTAAAATTGATTGAAAATATGCAAAATTTCATAAATGATACATTAAAAATATAAAACTACGGTATAATTAATAAAAATATTCGAATTCTGCAAATTCGAATTCTGAACAAACAAAAGTGCAAAAGTGAGTACATTTTATTTGATTTACTTTTCTCTGTTTTTTTCTTAGGTTGATTTGTTAAGTACGAAATACGTTATAAAATACGACCAACATTTTTGAATTTGCTTTTATATTTTTATTTTTATGACGTTAATAATGTCCAATGTACAAACATATACTCATTTCTGCTCGTCACTGTATGTGTGTACAGTACTTCAAAATGCCTCAGGTTGTTAGGCGTTATGTGTAAAACGTAGTCCTCATAATAAGATTAAGTTTTAAAAATTTAAATAATTTAAAAGTAGGGATTTGAAAATAAAACGAAAAATATTAAATTTATTTTTGAAATTGTGTTTAATTTATAAAAATTATTTTTCAAGTCCTCAGAAAAGCGTGGATTATTATTTTTGAGGGTTAGACAAGGCATGGATTCTTTAAAAAATTATTTTTGAGGACATAGACAAGGCGTGGATTTTTTTAGAAATTACATTTTAGTCATTATCACAAGGCGTGGGTTCTTTAAAAAAATATTTTTTAGTCATTACCACAAGGCCTGGATTTAAAAAAAAATATATATTTTTTGGGCATTAACACAAGAAACATCCGACAACGGCATGAGGTTGATTGACTTCGCGGCAGCAGAAAAACATGGTAGTTAGCAGCTCCAGATTCAAGCATCTCGATATACACAAGGCCACATGGATCTCTCCTGATCAAGCAACGTGAAATCAAACTGATCATGTTATGATAGACGGAAGGCATTCATCCAGTGTTTTAGACGTCCGATCGATCCGAGGAGCGAATATCGATTCGGACCATTACCTTGTGGCAGCCAAGGTACGCACCCGTCTTAATGTAGCAGGAAAGGTGCGATCTAACACAACACGGAAACTCGACGTCGCAAAGCTGCAAACACAACTGGTAGCCGAGGACTACTCCGCTCAACTTACCCACCTGCTTGAAGAAAGCACTTCTTGTCCCGATAATAGTATGGAAGAACAATGGCAAAGAATTGACCACCCCCTACATACTGCATCAAAAGCAACACTTGGGTACCATAAGCCACCACCAAGAAACCCGCGGTACGATCAGGAGTGTCGTAATGCCACTGATGAGAAAAATACGTATATGGCAACCCTGCAGACAGTAGCAGCGTATAGGGCAACACGTAACGGGATGAAGAATTGTCGAGAGAAAGAGAGAGAAGAAACGCGTTTTCCGAAAAAAGAAGAAAGAACAAGAAAAACGTCAACGTGAGCAAATCGAGATGTACAGGAGTCAGAATGAAGTCCGGAAATTTTACCAACGAGTAAAACACCAAACCGAAGGCTTTGGAGATGAATAAGGAAACCTGGTGACAGATACAGACAGCGTGTTGAGGATCTGGAAGGAGCATTTTGAAAAGCTTCTGGTATCAAATAGTGGCGTTGAAGAAGATACCCCAGAACC